CCCCAAAACCCCAAAACCCCAAAACCCCAGTACTCAGTAGACATATTGAAAAATAAAATTTTATTATAATAAAATGGAGAAATCAATCAGAAATCTTCAAGAAAGGAACACTGAGATTGTCAGGTAAATTTGAGTCGCATTTGAATTTCTGATAAAATAACATCCAATATTCTATGTTTAAAGATACTAGCTACTGACAATTTTTTTTGAAATCTAAAGACTCTACAAAATGTTATACTTTCTATAATTAAACATGGGGCATAAAGACATAATAATTTCCCTAACCCCCTCATTCTCTGAAAATTAACTTTATCTTCTACTAGATGCCCATATAATATTTTATTTCATTCTTGGGTGTAGCTTTCTCTAAATTAAGTAGCATCCCGGATACCTTGAGATAAGGGTTTTCCTCCACATCAAATAAAATTTATCTTCTGAGTTGTCAGAAATTCCTTCTTTGTATAAGCAGATTGCCTGTTTACAAAATAAGAGAAGAGGCTGGACTTATCTTAGAATCGACTCAGAAGGAGTCATTACTTCAATTCTATTTTTCTTTACCAATTCTGCTGTGAACCAAAAGTGTAATACCATCTCTCATTATGCTACAGTCAAGAGAAGTACAATCTCAAAAAGAGTGAAGAACAGAACTTTCAGTGATGCTGTAGTGCTTATTACAACATCTTTTCATGAGAAATCGATGCTAATCTATTGGATTCACACGGTAAAAGACAATTTGGCGAAATTGATATTATGTTTGAAGCCCCTCAGTATCTCAAATATTTGCAAAAATTAAAATTAATAAAGTTGACAGACATAACTAATATCAACTTGATTAACATCAAGAATAGAAATAAGCATATTCTGAATTTTATCGATTTCACATTTCCAAGTAAAGCAAGTTATATGTGGGTTGCCTGCTCAAATAGTTTGAATCAGAACAAATCCTACTACTTTAATTCATTGATTAAAATCTGCTATAAAGTCACCCAAAATGCAGCTTTTTATAATCTGACACTTAGTGCCTCTCAGCTCAAGAGGCTGGTGGCGGCCTGAAGACATGTACAGAGATTATCCTTAGGAAGTTGTAGTTTGTCTGTTCCAAGGGCTCCTGATTTCTCAAGAGCTCTTGAAAATTGCAAGATAGAGAGAATAAGTTTAATAGGATCCGGAAATACTAACTCCAGCAATTGGAAGTATAACTTTGATGAGTTTGTGAATTTGATACAAGGGTTGTCAAGCTCTTCACATCTAAGATTGAGTCTCTCAGAAGTAAACCTCAGTTCTTGTGAATTAGAGCAAACTAAAGCTAAAGAAATCTTTATCAAAAACCAACTTGAAGGAGTTAAAATAATTAATGAAGGTTAAATCCAGCCAATAATCTGTGTTGATGCTGATTTAATTTAAACTAAAATTACCACCTCCTTTCCATAATTGCACATTTGGGTTAGATATTTTGTTTGGAGTTTATCTACTAAGTTGATTGCAATAATTTAATGATGATCAGTTCTGTGAAAATGTTCTTACTATGTATTCAAATACAATTCTAGGATGAGAGAAATATTACTGACACAAGTGGGGTCATGGCTTCACTGGTAAGCGTCAAATCCTTAAAGTTGATTTCAAAATTAGATATTCTCATTCAGTAATTTGTACCTTCCTTAGTATTATTTCATTCAAATTAACATAGATTTTTATAAGTATAAATATTCAAAGTTTAATGCTATAGAGTATGAATTCACAAATCCAATATATTTCCTTTAGATATGAAAAATATGCAGCACATTAATGCGACTATGCTATGAATCCTAATTTTTCAAACAGAATTTCTTCATCATAGATCTTCTATTGTAGGGACATCAAATTAACGAAGAGTCAAGCAAATTTGAACCATAAATATCGAGATTATGATTCGATGATGCTAGAGGCTTAAAGCTTAGACATAATCAATAGAAGAATTCAAATAAAAAATTATGACTTTGCCAGGAAAACTTATAACTTCTTACCCCACAAAGATAAGCAAATAAACCGTCAGAGGATATTTTGATGGAAAATTTTGACAAATTAGACTCTCCTCTGGTAGTAAACAATATGGAATCTTCTACCTTCCCTCAATACAAAAACCAAACTAAACTTGAATTCTATGACCTATAAGGACATATTCACCTGATTTCCTCAAAAAGCCATTTTTGTTGATAAAACAAATTCTATTTGAGATTTTCTAGAGGGGTTTTGGGGTTTTGGGGTTTTGGGG